GAACTTCCCCAGCCAGCAGTGGCGTGGCGTGGGGAATTCTGGGAGTTGAAGTCCACACATCTTAAAGTTGTCCACACATCTTAAAGAAGTCCACACATCTTAAAGTTGCTGAGGTTGAGAAACACTGCCTTAAAGTCTCCCTTCATTCAAATCCACTCCTGGCAGTTTCCCAGACATGTTCATACTGATTATTTAGCAGCAAAACTAGCATGGCTTCCAATATATATATATTTTTCCCTGACTTCCAAGTTCATCCCTGGGATTTTCTTCTGGTTTCCCATCTATCCCAACCCCGTTTAATTTCTCATCCCAGTCGGAATTGGTCAGAGGCTGCCGTTGACTAATATCTTGTGTAAATCTTGTAAAAGCAGCTCGATAAAATGCCTGAAACTGATTGAAAGCTAAACATTTCAGTGTCAAGCTTGACTCGTGCTGTTAATCTGTTTTCTCGACAGGGTTACAGAAGTGTTTTGCGACAGTTCCCGCCCCCCCCCCCGAAAATATGCTCAGATTCCAAAATACCAGTTAGGACTCAGGATTCTTGATCTCACACGAGACGTTGGACCAGAAGAAACCTAGATTTTGGTCTCCCCTTAACCACAGAGTCTCCTTGGGGATTTGGGGCCAGGCCCTGTCTTTTAACCCGACCTACCTCACAGGGTTGTTGTTGGTGTGTGGGTCAAATGAAGGGAGGCTCCCCTTTAACTGCCTTAAATTCCTGGAGGACAGGCCGTATATGTACCTGGCCAATCAAATCAACATTTGGGAGGGAGGAAATGGTTTTGGAAGGAGCCTTCTTGACTTCCTCTGGAAACAAATCCGGTCTCCTGTAAATCCTTGAATTCCTCTGGCCCTGTTGTTTAGCAAACAGATAGCATTTTATTTTTTGTTGTGCAACCCATTAGGGCTTTGGGTCTATCCCTACAAAGATCAGAATCGTGCAAGCCATAGGATTCCCTGTGACGCTCCATGGAAGAGAAAGTTGGACTTCGAAGAAACAAGATAAGAAGAGTATTGACGCTTTTGAACTTTGGGGTTGGAGAAGACTCCTGAGAACACCGAGGACAGCCAAGAAACAAACCGATGGGTCATCAAACAAATCAACCCAGAGTTCTCCCTCAAGGCACAAATGACCTGTCAGCCTTATGAGGTAGTCCAGACAAGAAGCACACCCAGAAGTATTAGCTCTAACTTTATTGCAAGGTTACATTAACAGAGTGTTGCAAGTCTGAAAGGACATATCTTCCTCCTTGCCTTTACAGTCCAAGAAACTAAGGGGGGTCCCTTCTGAGATGTTTGCTACACCCCCTTTTCCTTCTGTGGGCTAAGCTGCCTCTTATCCGACTGTTGTCTAGTCTGTGGCTCTTCCTCCTGTCTCCCAAGGTCATTCCCACATGCCATTACATGACCAGGCTCAAATTATCCTAGTTGGGATACATTATGAGAAGACCTAGCTCTCTGGAGAAGGCTGCAATGTTGGGAAAGGTGGAAGGAAAGAAGAAGAGGAGGACCAGCAGCAAGGTGGAGGGACTCAGTTACAGCACCGATGGGGGCACTTTTGGAAGACCTGAAGGACCAGGCTGCGGATAGATCCTCCTGGAGAAAATCTATCTATGTGGTTGCTAAGAGCTGACATCAGTTTGATGGCATTTAATCAATCAATCCAAAACCCCAGCTCCCTGGAGAACTCCATAAGGCTGGGAAAAGTGGAAGGAAAGAGAAGAAGAGGATGACCATCAGCAAGGTGAAGGGACTCAGTTACAGTGATGATGGGGGCACCGTTGTAAGACCTGAAGCAGGGTCAACTCCAGATGTTTTGGCGCTCCAGGCAAAGTCATATTCTGGCACCCTTTATGGTTTGGTTCATCTTCCCATTTTCTTAGGAATATCAAAAAGGCGCTTTCTTGTTTCTTTTTTTCTTTGAGTTTTGGAGTTTTACATTACAATGTTTAGCCCTGGCCAATTTTTTTTCTTTTCTTGGACATATTCACCCTATTTACAGTAAATCACCATAGGTCATTTTAATTACATCAACACTCATTGTTGTCCTATGGCAACAATTCTGCAAAATGTTATTTAACCCTCAAGTGGGCCATTACCACTTTTCCAGGTATAATTTCAATGCACTGAACGTCCTGCTACTTGCTCACTCAGGACCTTCCCATCAGACTGTGGCCTTGCTTCAGTAGTATTATCAGCTTCTGGAGGTCCACAGCTGCAATAATAATTTCTTTTCCATGACATGGGACATCTGGTTAATGTGTGGTTCACTACCACTTGGCCGACTTTGGGGATTAGTATTTCTGAAAGAGAAAATTCTAAAGCAACAAGGAAAGATGATCAGGTTGGATATTCATATGGTATATTTTGGAAGTCTTTTCAATTTCAGTGCCCCCTAAAATTTGGTGCCTAGGCAACTGCCTAGGTGAGTGTTTCTCAAACTTGGCAACTTGAAGAAGTCCATGCATCTTCAAGTTGCCATGGTTGAGAAACGCTGGCTTTGGTTGTCTAGACCTAGAACCCGCCCTGCCTGAAGGACCAAGCTGGGGACAGATGGTTATGGAGAATACCTATGTCAGTGTTTCCCAACCGTGGCAACTTGAAGAAGTCCATGCATCTTCAAGTTGCCATGGTTGAGAAACGCTGGCTTTGGTTGTCTAGACCTAGAACCCGCCCTGCCTGAAGGACCAAGCTGG